CCCCCCCGCTCCAGCCTCTCTGCTTTGCTGGTCATGTAAGGAGAAAATGTCAAGGAAGATTCAAACATGTCCTGGCCAATTTCTATGATCATGTTGGGAGATTCTGGAAAATCCCAAGTGATGTTTTGGGTGGATGGCTGTAGGGCTGCAATCTTTTCCCATGAAAGAAGAAGAAACATCTCTTGCTAATAGAAGAAATAGAGCTGAACCTTTCTTCCTGTGGTTTTCTACATGTAATGGGTTCTAATGTTTGCACTGAGGGGACTAAGCACTAAGAAAGTCTTGAACATAGCCTCGTGCTGGGGATGGCATGCCAAGCAGGGCTGGGATCCTCAGACAGAACTAATTCGCCTCACTAGAGGCAGTCAAGGGCCTTTCTCCAACCCCAGGAAAAAAAGGTGATGGATGGATGGAAGAAAAGCGATCCTGGAAGTATACCAGTTATTCAAGGAAAGTAACTCAAAGTGCATTTTGGAACAAAACAGTATCAGAACAAAATATATAAATTCAAATCTTCTGATTTGTATAAGAAATGGTTAATGTGGATTTTGAACTGAGTTCAAGTTTCCAAAAAGAATTAATGTTTGAAACTCCAACTTTGTAAACATTTCATTTGCACCCCTCAAATTAAAAAAAAAAAAAAAGTTTCAGTCTCATCCCTCCTTCCGCAATGGCAACTCGAAAGAGGGGAGACGACCAAATGACTCCTGCCTAAAGATCCTGGGCACGTGGAGGAGGAAAGGCCAGATGGGATGAATGGACCGATCTTTCTGTCCAGCCCAGGATCATAACTAGGAATCCTCTTATGAATGGAGAACAGCAACATCTGACAAACCACATGGAATAAGAAGGAAAGCTTCATGCACAGTCCCAGGAATGGCCTGTTTGCTGGGGGAGGGGGCACCATGAGAGAAATGAAAATGGCATCACAAGTGTGGCCACGTCTCGAGTCTGCTCAGGAAAGCGTATTGGAGTAGAAACTCAGGCTCTCTGAGACAGTTTTAGTGTCACTGCGGGAGGAGCCGTTGGAGGTCAGATCGACGGAGAGGCGCCTGGATTTGCTGCTGTCATCAAGTTCCTCCTCTGGGTTGCCAATGACGGACGAGACCGTCGTCTCCATCCGGCTGGCCTTGTACATGCTGTTCTGGGTCTGGAGGTACCTGGCCGACTTCATTTCCAGTCCTTCGTATTCGCTGGCATGGACAAGCGGGCACCAGCGGAAAGCGCGCTTGAAGCCGAGCCGGAACCTGAGGAAGGAGACAGAGCACAGCAGCTGCATGAGAGCCTGCCCAGCGCCTGCCAAAGCCGCCTTGGGACCGGCCAAGCCGGGTTTCCGTTCGGCCTGTGAAATGCTACGCCTTTCATTATCCTCGGAGCTGACATGTTTCAAGTGTCTTCTGTATTAATATTTAACATTCATCCTGTGCTAAGAAAAGCTGCATTCCCTGTGCTGTTAAAAACAGAGCCCAATTTGCACAAATTATGTTAATGTGCATGATTTGTACTGTAATTTTATTTACTTTGCATCCTGGGTAAAGCAGGAGGAAATGCTGCCCCCACTGCAATGTCACCCCTCAGACTGTTGGTATTCTAGTAGACACCCCTCCCCCTTGATGCCCCTGCCCACACTTTTAACTGCATGGTGTGGCAGCTGCAACTTGTGAAGGTGGCTTCCCAAGAAAGAAGCTGGATTCCGAGTTACTATGGAGTTGCTTCATTCATGCAATCTTGCCTACCCCTGTTTCAACTCATGCAGCTTTGTAAAGTGAATGAACAGCCAATCAACTTCTTTTACCCAGTTTCACTAATCTTAGGGGAGCCTTCTTTGTTTACCCAACAGAACAACACTACTTGAGAAGTAGCAAAGCACATTCGGTGCTGGGCAATCCTGAACTTTAGGGGAATGTAAACAATGCAGCAGTGTCCTCGATTACGCCTTCTGGAGAAAAGCAATTTGCAAAAATGGATCATGTTCAGAGGCCAAGCTTCAAAAGACTCTACTAGTAGCCTGACTGACCACCCACTATTGTAAAACCAGCCCAACTCCGGAGTTTGGCATTACAGTAATGAAGTGACCATATTTGGTCACAACTGACATGCATGAATCTGATTTAGTTTTATTATTCAACTGAACCTGTCATAATAATAAGCACATCCAAAAGAGAAGGTCTTACCTGTCATTGAGACAACAATAAATAATTGGGTTGTACATAGTGGAGCTCATGGCCAACCACATGATAGCCAAGTAGACCTGCTGGATGTACTTTTCTGAGTACGCTTCAACTTTAAAAAGTTGTAGAAGGAAGTAGACATGGTAAGGCAGCCAGCAAATGGCAAAGGTGCAAACCACGATTATCATCATCTTGACAACCTGCCAGACAAGGAGAGCCATCAAGTTGTTTAACCATTAGCAAGAAGTCGAAATGAAGAGGCAAGAAGGCAGCTCCAGCTGGCTAGTGGTGCTGAGGCCCATGGGGTTCACAGAACATTACCGCCATGCAAGGAGAGAAATATCTGTAACTGCTCTGGGGCTTGGAAACAGCAGGCCAGCTGCGGGAAGATGTCAAGCCTGACATCACATCCCTTGCCAGGGTCCTGAGCTGGACTGCAACCTTCTGATTCTTCCTTTCACTCTTCAAAGAATGCAAGAGCTTCTTCACAACATTAATGGTATTATGTTTATTTGATCCTTTGTGAGAACGAGCCAAGTTACAAGATGGGAATTAGAATATGCTAATTTTTAATTTATGTAACTCAATGACATAGAATAGGAATGGAGAACCTAAGGCCTTTGGGATATTGCTGAACTACAATTCCCAGCATCCATTATCATTAGTTATGCTATCTGGTGTTAGTGGGGTGATATCTAGAGGGTCACTCCTTTCCCATTCTTGAAATAACTGATCTCAAGTGACTCCAAATGATTGGCAAGAGAGCTTAGCTACCTGTTTCTAGCTCTGTCTATTCAGTCAACATGTGGGCCTTGAACTAAACTGAGGATGCATCCTTTCAACTTGGCAGGGATTTTCCTTCTGGTTTAGTTTCTCCTGATAGTCCAATCCCCTTACCTTGCGCTTGGCAGATACTTGTTCATGATAGCGGTCCGAAGAGTCCCCTGGTATCCCACTAGCCCACAAGGTGATGCCCACCATAATATAGGCATAGCCTATCACTATGAGTGGCAAGATGTAGACTAGTATAGTCATACAGAACTGATACCTGGAATAAATGGGACAAGTGTTAAGAATCTGACAATAAAAGAGGTGCTTTCCCCCCAGCCTGAACATCCTGCCCACCTTACTCTTGGTTACAAATGCATCTGCAAGTTGGAACATTGCTACAATTTCACGACAAATATATGATGGTGTAACTTGCTTTTTTGAGGAAGAAAAACAGGCTTTAGGCTGAATTTCTAGATGATACACCTGACAACTTGGGAAAAATCTTTCTAATACTTTTAGTCCCCTACCAATACTGGTTATGTGCCATCAAGTTGGTGTCCATTCTTAACAACACACAGATAGATATCTCAACAATGACCTGCAGGATACAGGATCACAGAATTAGAAAGGACCACGTGGGGCATTCAATCCCACCTCCTGCCCAGGGAAGGAGTCCAAATGAAAGCACCCCAGACAGATGTCTGTCCAGCCTCTGCTTGAACCCACCCAATAAAGGGAAGCCCGCTGGTTCCACCAGCAAACAGCTCTGTTCACGCATGGAACCAAAATCTGTCTCCTTGTAACATTAACCATCATGCCATGCCCATCATGGTGGAATGAAAGAGAACAGCCCTAGACCTGTGTCTGAGTGGTATCCTGTCAGGAATTTGCAGAGGGCCATCATACACCTTGTCTTTCCTCTGCCATGGCACCCACCTTATGGAATATTCTTTCCCCCCCCCTCCCAAAATTAGGTTAGCTCCATCCCTCTTGATGTTCAGAAGTCCCTCAAGACCTCGTTATGTCACCAGGCTTGGGGGGCCCAGGGAACCGGAGACATGTTCAGATGGCTCTACTACTAAGGTGGATTTATTCACTCTCTCTTTGCCTGGGGTTTGTATATTTTGTTTTTAATAATGTTTAATCTTTAATACGGATTTTTATATTTTTATAATGATGGTTTAATATATGTGTTGCTTTTATCTGACCGTTGTATGCTGCCCAGAGTCACTTTTCATGAGATGGGCAGCCATATAAATTTGATTTATAAATAAAATAATAAAGAGGATCCAACCCTTGGGTCTCCTGAGCACCCTCTTTGAACCTTTTCCAGTGTGTCTGGAACTTTCTTAAAATGGGATAGCTAGAAATAGACGCAATACTTGAACTGGTTTATGACCAATAATGATTAAACTGTAACTGTAACTCTTCATGATGGAAATGATGCTTCCATGGATACATTTGTCCTTTTCACAACCATCTTTCTGCTGGCTCATATTCAGCTTCTGATCCACTTCCATTCCAAGATCCTATTACTAATTCACATATTTCTTTTTCCCAAGTGAAGAACTTTCCATTGATGTGGGTTAAATGTCATTCTGTTATTAGCTCACTTCTTTTATCCATCAAGATTATTTTGAATTGTGTTTGCCCTTCTGGATATTCCAATCAGCTTTGAATCATCTGCAAACCTGATAACCATTCCTTCTACCTCTTCAGCCAAATCATTAATAAAAGTGGGGAAGAGTATTAAGCCAGGATCAAATCCTGTGTCACCTCAATTGATAGCTTGCTATAGTTTGATGAGGAACATTGCTGAACATTCTTTGAATACCATTTTTAAGATGACTATATATTTACTTAATAATGATGCCACCCAACCCACACTTAAATAGCAAGCTAAGAATGTCACAGTCTATTTTATCAAATACTTTGCTAAAATCAAGTGATATTATCTCTACAGATTTCCATGACAAAGTAGTAATATGAGAAAAAAATACATCAGATTAATCTGGCAAAACTTACTCTTCTTGAAGTCACACTGACTTACAGTGATGATTGCAGCATTTCCAAGTCCTTACAGACTGATTGCTTGATGATTTGCTGTGAAATCATCCCAGATATTGGTGTCAGAGTGACTGCTAAGTAGTTCCCTGCATTTGCAGAATCATAGAGTTGGAAAATGACCTCAGAGGCCCTCTGGTCAAACTGCCAGATGATCAGTGCAGGGTCTGCTAAATCATTTCGGACAGATGTCTATCTAGCTCTTGTTTAAAGACCTTCATGATAGGGAACACCTCTGTTCGTGAGGCACCCTATTCCCTTGGTTGACGGCCTTTGCCATCAGGAAATTCCTCTTATCTAACTGGAATCTACTTTCCTGTAGTTTCAGCCAATTGTTTCTGGTTCTGTCCTCCAGGGTAAGAGAGAACAAGTCTACGCTCCCCTCTGTATGACACCCTTTAGATCCACAAAGACAGTTATTGTATCTTCCATCAACCTTCTCTTCTGCAGGCTAAACATTCTCAGTTCCTTTACCCATTCCTCATAGGATCCTTCGCCATCTTGGCAGCCCCCTCCAAACTTGCTCAATATCTTTTTCAGACCGCTTCGGCTAGACCTACACACAGTATTCCAAGTGGGGCCCGATCAAGGCAGAGGACACTGGGACAATTGCTCCACATGATGTGTTCCTGGTAATATATGCCAAAATAGCATTTGCTTTTTTAGCAGCTGCATCACAGTGCCAGCTCATCTTTAACTTGTGATCTACTAGAACACCCAGATCTTTTTCACATGTACTACTGCCAATCCCATTCTGCCTTTCGGAGATTTTCTCTCTCCAGATGCACAACTTTCAACTTCTCCTTCTTAAATATCATCCTGATCATTCTAATACACCATTCAAGGCTGTCTGTTTCTCTTCCAATATATCAGCCATTCCTCCTAACCCTGTGTCACCTATAAATTTGATGATCATCCCCTCAACTTTTATCCAGATATAAATAAAAGTCGATCAGCAAAGGCCCTTGAACAGACCCTTGTGGCCTGCCACCTAATTCTGCTCTCCAGTCTGATGTGGAGCCATTTATGAGTGTTCTCTGGGTGCAGTCATTCAGCTAATTACGAGCCCATCTAATAGTGGCATTATCTAGTTCAAATTTCACCATTTCATTAATAAGGATTGGGTTTAATTAGGGTTTTCTCTTTTTGAACCGGACATTTGCCCTCGTTTAGTTCTTCAATGCTTCACCAAATCTCCAGAATATCTAGAGATGTAGGCAGTGTAAGGTTTGCCCCGTTCGACAGAGAAACTCTCGTGACACGTGTGGTTCACAAGAG